CATTTAATTATATAAATTTTTATATTTATTAAAATATATGAATCTTAGATTTTTGTTATTTTCATTAAATTTATAAGTTACGCTCTGAAATTTATTAATAAACGCTTTTGCGAATAAAATTGAAAAAAAGTGTGCAGTAATGGATTTGGGACATTCCAATAAAAGACCATGTCTATTGTATTGTCTTTTGTGTCACGCGTGACGCCGGTAGCCCTGAATGTGCGCGGCAAATGGAAAGCTAATGACCGGAAACAAGAGTACATCAAGCCGGTCGATTCGTAGTGAATTTTCCAAATATATCGCGAGATATTTCCACTTCCCCCTGTAATGTTAAAGTGCAATTTGGAAGGACTTGTTCTTCGCATTTTCATCTACCACACAATCATTTTTGTTTGGTTCTATATTGAGAGCGATAATTCTAACTATAGGCACCATTATCCATTGATCACAGGAATTGCATCGATTGTTCGATTATAATAATTAAAGCGAAATAATCAATGTGGACAACAACTTTTTTTTTATATTTTGCATTTTTCTCAAAATTATTAAGTTTTCATCAATACCAACCAACTAAATTATGATTAACGTCCAGAATTGTATCTTTCTATATATAAAATACTCTTAAACAACGACGGTAAGCTACTATATTATAGCCCCATAATATTTTATTTCCGAGGGATAGACTTTATCTTGAAAGCAAATACGAAGCGTAACGCGTTTGGGAAAAACGAACTTTGAGTCTGTTGCGCTTTCTAAGCTCGATTCTCATCTTCAAGATGCCCCGAACGTCCGACTGGCGTCCTATGACTTTGGAAATAGAAAGTCACTTTGAAAATAGGCTCCGAAATATGCGTGCCTGGTAAACCTTCCCATCGTCTCGGCTAAGAAGAAGAAGAAGAAGAAGAAGAAGAAGAAGAAGAAGAAGAAGAAGAAGAAGAAGAAGAAGAAGAAGAAAGAGAAGGAGAAGAGAGGAAGAAGCCGAATAGAGAGAGAAGGAAAATCATGATGAGGAAGAACGATGGAGAAGACGAGGAGGACGCGGGAGGGTAGACGCGGTTTTAGACTACGGACTCGGCGCGTCGGCGTCGGGTTAAAAATAACAGTAACAGCGGCAGAGAGAGAGCCGGTCCTCGTCGTCGTCGTCGTCGTCGTCGTCGTCTACATCATCCACGTCGCGTTTACCGCTGCTGCTGCCGCCGCTGTTGCTGCTACCGCTCTCTGGCTCGTATCTTCCTCCGCCGAGCTGGACGGTGATATCGATGACGCTACCACGTCGTTGCGACATAGCCTTGAGCGCGGCTGTGCGTCGCACCGAAGAAGTCTAGGAGCCATTTCGACTTTTTTTCTCCCACAAGAATTTTAATGTCTTATACATCGAGACGCTCGGATTTCTGTCCACTTCTACGTGCTGCGACGTAGTCGCGACGGAGTTTTTTATCTGCGCGCTTAGCGAACGCGCATTATAATCATTTCGGGCGGAGTTTCCTGGTCGCTGCAGCATGTTCGCCAGGACGAATTTATAAATCACGTTGACGAATTGTCACGTTCCCGTTCCATGAAACTTTCGCGCCGGTAAAACATCGGACAAATTTGTCCGGTCGTGCCTGTGTGCTTTTTGCAAAACAGAAATTATTTAGCTTCTCTCCATGAGTTGATGTATTTGTAGACTTTCGAGCGTAAACTTGACGGACGAGGTATATATCGCAAGCTCTCTTCTATCATCGCGACAGCCGTTTGCTTGTTATTATTACGCCTGTGAAAAGGACGTATATGTCAAGTTTCGTCATCTATATATTCGTAGTTACCTGTGCTACCTACGTTCGTCGCGTTCGATACAATGTCAAGTTTCTTGAGGAACAAAAATTTTTTTAATTTCACTTTTTAATTCATCTAATCCTTAATCAAATCGTAACGAAATCTCGAGCTGCTAAAGTACGCTGTTAATTCGGAAGATTCCCTTTAAAGAAAAATCTGTAAAGAACTACCATTTACTGCTAACAGCTTACAAACTGCTGTAAATAAAATATTAACGTGTTAAAAAGATGAAAACATAAGTGTCGTACGTAATATAAATTTTTCGTCACACACACTTTATTCGATAGAAAATATTTTTCTCTGATCTCATTTACGACACTTGATTAACGTTTCCGAATGGTTATCGAATTCATTGTTTAAATATATCGTATTTGAGAGTTCATAGGAAATTGTACTCTCTAAATTCTTTGGAGTGAAACCCCACTTTAAAGAGTACAAATTCAGCCAATCTTGAAAAAGGAGCGGCTCAATTTTCAATCTTTAACATTGATATTTTTTATCTCTTCAGAAAGATAATTCATTACGAAAGTTTCAGGCATTGTTGAATTTCACTCAAATGAATTTTAAATAAACGAAACGACACATGGGCCTCATCGAGGAGGCCCATGGTCGCCGGAAAGTATATTAAATAAGAGTGCTGATATTATATCTGCGAAAGTCACGTATATCTGTACCGGAGCGTCGCGGGTCTCGAAATCTTGGCTGCGCGTGCGATCATCGGATTCTCTCGCCACGCACAACGGCGAGACGGATTTTATTTTCGTACCGCAGTAGCATCCCGCGACCCCGATGCCACCGGCTCCGTCAGCAACCACCCCCCTTCTCCTCTCC